TGTATTTATTGAAGGCAGTAGCCAAGTTTGTCATTGGCTTGACTACAAGACAGTGTATTTATTGAAGGCAGTTGCCAAATCTGTCATTGACTTGACTACAAGACAGTGTATTTATTGAAGGCAGTAGTTTGTCCAACTAACGTGGTTATTTCATTTAATAGGATAGAGTTGTTCTCTTTTCCTTGCTCTTTTTTCTGAGAAATTGTTTTTAAGGACTTCCAGGAATCTATAAAACAGTGGATTGGAATTTTATAACAAAGTAAAGCTTTCTATAAAGACTTTTTAAAGAAAAACATATATATATATACATATATTAAATTTGATAGCAAAATTTTACTCCAAAAATTGTTTTTTTGATTATAGTATTTTTTGTTCACTATATTGAATCAGTGTACTCTGTTGACTGTGGATATTGTGTACAGATTTTTTTCTTAGTTGTACACAGTTAAAGTTTTAACTGTTTTGTGATTAATGCTTGAATGTACACATGTACAATGTATTTTCTTAAATATGTATATTCACATACATATGTCTTATATATTTATGTACTCATGGGATGAACTAAACCAAAGAAACGAATGAGCAGAATTTGAATGGGATACTAGAAATAATGTCTGTCAAGTTACTGTGACATCTTAAATGACTATTTGTGCACCAATTGCTCATGTGATATTATATTTAATTAATAGCCCCCCTTTTGTTTTCTTTATTTTAAAGAGAAATGGAAATTTTTATCTTTTGATTTTTAGAATGTTTTCATTATATGAATCATTTGTTGACCAACATACAGTTCTATAAAAACAAGTTTGTTTTACCATTTTTGTTGTTACATTACATTGTTAGAAGTAATTCTCTACCAAGGAACTCTATTTTAAACCCAGCCACACCCAGCAGTTATTAGAGACTGAAAAAGAATTATTTATCAGTTAAACATTACACTTACAAACAATGAATCCATTGATAATTTATAATAATCGAACTTGTCACTGTTAGAAATATATTTGAGACTTTATCTTGAAGTAGTCATTTAGAATATGTATCATTTTTTTATTCATTACTTTTGTATAGCATGCATGCTCAGTGCACTCAGGTCCAATTCCTTTTGTGGACTTGTGATGTGGGGGCTATCTGGGAGAAAGTTCTCTGCTACCTTTAGTAGTTCAGCAACCACAACTCAGCTCTAATCTGGATTTGAATTTGATCCTTCTTGCTAGGTAGCAATGAGGTTTAGGCCACACAGCCACACATCATCACGTTTGAAAGGGAGGTAATAAAGTGCTTTGGTAGTGGGATAATCAGGGTAAACTTTTGTCAAGTGCAGTGATTTGTTTTTTTCAAATCAGACTCATATCTTATTGCTGTAAGTAGGATGTTAGTATTACAATTAGTATTTATAGACAAATTTTGCTCATTGACATTTAGGAAAGCTGGGATATGCTAGACAATTAGCTTGTTAACAGTTTTGCTGTTGACATTATGTTAACATTATGTATAATGTATCCTATATTCACTATTTTAATTTAGTGATTAATGAAGCTTTTTTTTTTTTATTATTGAATGAACTGATCTCTTTCATTGTCTAGCTAGTTGAACTTGGTTTTTTTTGTTATTTTGATTCTGGTTTGTGTACTAATTACATTCATTGTGACTGTTTAGATTATCCTTAATGGAACAGGAATGTTTTATTTATTTGAAGGAATATTTTTTTAACCACAGTGACAGATATTCTACTCTTCTAAGATTTGCATTGTATTATTCAACTGTATTATTGTCATGAATATTGAATATCTATTTCATATCACATCAACAGTTTATTATTGTCTTAACCTTGTTTACTAACATTGACCACATTTGTTGTTGTGCTTACACCATGATCAGTTCTTTCATTGCAATGCATTAGACTTGAGTTTTTCGGTTGCATTTAATTTTGTGCAGACTAATGGCGGGAATTTTTTTTTGTTACACCAGCTTTGCTGTTACTTTGTTTGACAGAAGACACAGTTGTGTTTGATCCCATCATGCTTTGCTTAGTAGTTCTTCTTGTGCTTGTGTTAGGATTGGCTGATTTGTTGATTGTTATTTCAATTTCTTTGAAATCCTTTGATTCAATGGGAACTATTTCCTGACTTTGTTTGATTGGAATGTTTTCTGTGATTACATAAAAAGAACATCCTACACTTTTTTTTCTTCTATACATTTCTGGGCCACATTTCAACTGATACTTTTATTCAAATACCAGTACATCTGCTTGTCCTTTGTTTACTTTAGTTGGCAACATCTAGAATTCAGGTTTTCACTTCAGAATTAGACTGGCTGTCAGCCCAATGACTACACTTGTTTATTGGTGTTAACAGCAATGTTTTGACACATTAGGAGATTTTTGTTGGACCAGTTGTCCTCAGCAATAACCACTTCCACATCTTTGTTCTCCTGAGTCCTCTTCTCAGATTAAATCTTTAGTGACAAAAAACATTTGTAGATGACTTAAATAAAAAATGTATGTGCAATGATTGTAATTATTGATGTGATTAGAATAGATGCTTTACACACATATTTTACTATTTGATTTTGTTTTGCTTCTCTAGTCATTCACATTTTATTGCTATAAATGTAAACAATTTTAATGTTCATTTAATGCTTTATTTATTTATTCTTGTACCAAACTCTACCATTGAATGTGTTGTTAGTGTTGACAGTTGTTGAGACATTGTCTGTTCTAATTGTTTCAATGAAGAGTATTCAACTGAATTGCCATTTGTACAAAGTCTGTTGGGAACAATGGAACTACTTAAGACACTGGAAAGGTGCAGTGGTTAAATGTCTGCTGATATCAAAAGGGTGAAGTATTGTGTGTCTGCTGTCAAAGCTAATGTTTTAGAAAGTTTTGTTTGAAGTCTCTTGTGTTAAGATTTCTCTCCCCTCCATAATTAATCAGATTTTGATTTTTGTGTTTGTCTGGATCTATGTAGAAAAACAGAAAAGTTTGATGTACTAGTTGAAAGGTCATACAGTTTCATGCCTGTCCCAATTAATTTTAAATGATCAATTTGTGTCGTTTGCACCCTGAAAAAGTTTAAATTTAGTTCTAGCTAGAAAACCGTCAACAGGATGTAGTCTTAGTAGTAGTCTCAGTAGTTTGGGATGGGGCTAATGTTCTTGTATTCCACTAGATTTGTTCACATGAAGTTAGTGCTGTTCAAACAAAACAAACAAAAACAAAGCATCAAGTCATGAAAACATTTCTGTGCTCTTCAGTGTGATTAGTTTGAGCAATCTTGGGGAGCTCCCAATAAAACGTACACAATCAAGTGTTTTTTACTAATGGAATTCTTCCAATGTAATCTAGTAATGCAAGGAATAGCCCAGTCATCCAATCAACAAGTACATAACCTATGAATCACATTGTTCAGTTTTTAAGCTAGTTGAGTTAGATATCTGATAGTATATAGACATTAGACCGTACCAGTAGATGTTTGAACTGATAGTATATAGACATTGGACCGTACCAGTAGATGTTTAAACTGATAGTATAAAGACATTGGACTGTACCAGTAGATGTTTAAACTGATAGTATATAGACATTGGACTGTACCAGTAGATGTTTCTTTCATTAATGATTTAAATTGAACCTGCTCACTTTGTACACATAAACTCCAGGCACTCTCTCATACACACAGAGACTGCCTATAAAGGTTTTCAGTTTCAATATCAAGTATTAAAAAGGTTTAAAAAAGAGAACTACACTAAGGGGAGGGGGGGGTAACTGTGTGCTAGATGTCTAGGCTCTGTGTTGCTGAATCAACTGTCAAGGTTTGTTTGCATTAATAGCACAGGCTGTACATGGAGGCATTGAAAATAGTTTGGTTAAGTTTGCTTTTAACTCCTGATGTTGTGGAGAAAGACAGATAATTTTAGCTTGTTGTTATGAAATTTTAGGGCTGTCCAGTTCAAGGATTGTGACAGAAAACTTTTGTTTTGTTGTTTTTGTTTTGCTTGACATCAAGAATTTCTGGAGAGTCTGTTGGTGTGCATCAATTCACCTACCAATGTTCTCTCATCCATCTGTTGTTACAAATATGAGATAGTAAATGTATCAAGTGTAATGGTGAGAGACAGTGCTACTGGCTTGTACTAAATTAAAGTAAGGATGTGTCATGGATCTTGTCAGAGGAGTTTAAACATGTAAAAAACTAAATTTAAAAAAATGTCTCATTTAATTTTTTATATTACATTTGGGCATTTAATTAAGAATTTCTTGATTTTTTATGGATACAGTTTTTTAAAACTTGTTTTTTCTGTGTTTTTTTTTGCATGTATTTAAAAATGTTTTTATACAAATATTTTACTTTGGAAACTGGCATCTTTTTCTCAAACATTGTTTACGTGATTGTTTATCTCAAACTTTTCTGATCAGAGTTCATTAAAAATACATTTAGAAAGTTATCAGTGGTAAATTCTTTTTCTGAATCCAATGATAAATGTTTTTATTTTTTTTTTAAATATATTTCCATAAGAGATTAGAACATTGGACTTACAAAACAGAGAATCTAGGACTTACTTGTTACATTTGGTAATGTAACCCTGGATAACTGCAGTGTAATGTCTGTGCTAATTGCTTTCAATTATTAATTTTACTTGCCAAAACAAAATGGCAATACAATAAATCATCTTTTTTTTTTTTTTTTTTTAAAAGATTTAGATTATTGATTATATGTTCTTCCAGTACATAGCATGTTATTTAGTTGTTGCAACTACAACTAGAAAACTGCTAGTTTAATTCACTTTTTTGTAATTTTACTCCAATGCCATTTGTAGTATTAAAATGAGTAGCTTGACAAATGAATACAAGAAAACCAAATTGTGTACTAGTTCTGATATTTTCATCTTTGATACCAGTAGATGTTTGAACTGATAGTATATAGACATTGGACTGTACCAGTAGATGTTTACTATAGACATTGGACTGTACCAGTAGATCTTTAAACTGATGGTATAATGACATTGGACTGTACCAGTAGATGTTTCTTTCATTAATGATTTAAATTGAACCTGCTCACTTTGTACACATAAACTCCAGGCACTCTCTCATACACACAGAGACTGCCTATAAATGTTTTCAGTTTCAGTTTGAGATCCATGACTCGAGCTGTATCACTGTATTTATTTCCCTTTGGCTTCTGAGTTGTCTTTCCCTTGTCTCTTGTTATGTATCTATTTATAGACACGACCACTTTCGTTAATGTATTTTTTTCCCTTCTAAGTCAGTAATTGTATTTCTTCTTGTTTTCTCTTGGACATTTATTTCTCATAATGAAATCAAATTGTTTTTAAATAAAACACAAACTAGTCATATGTTGGATTGTCTTGTGTCAGACCTTATTTCTACGTTCTAGAGAACAAAAATCTATAGTAATACTCTATACTAGGCACTGTCATTGAGTCGGAAGAGGACCCAGAAATCACATGTGATGAACATAGAACAAAGGCTTTAGAGACTTCTGAACAATACATGAAGACTTAAGAACATGATTCCTAAAGTAGTCTATATAGACCCCCAGGGGTCTAGGAGAGTGAAACAATGAATTGGGGGTCTATAAACTGTAAATGGGGGTCCACGATAGCGGATTTCTTCAGAGCAGTTGAGCCTTAAATTTTATTTCCTATTTATGAAATTAACTGATACACATATATGATTTGTACCTTAGTTGATCGTTTAAATTTCGACCATGATATTCCACAAAAAAAATAAAAAATGTTAACTTCGTGTTTAAATATCTTGTGCCTGTGAAACTAATATTCAACAAAAAGTAAAGTAGACAGCACAGTGTTGAATATTTAAAATGTGGCTTCATTCCAATGTGCCTATCCTGCAACAAAGTAATGACGCTCTGAAGGCCATCTAAGGTGCAGGATTATTTGAGGCGATAATAATAATGGCAATGTCTTCTATTCCAAAGATGAAGTACAGTCTTTCACATGACTATGCAAACTTAGTTCATTTGCCAGCTGGATATTTTTTCCGCATCTCTTGTCCACCGGCGGTAAATTTAATTTTTTCTTTTCGTCATCTGAGTCTGTCTTTAATAAAAACTTTTCTTTGGGTCTCAAAACGCAAAAAAAAAATACATGAAGATTTGAGATACTAAGACCAAATAAATAAATACAAAGACCAAATAAATAAATACAAAGACCAAATAAATAAATACTAAGACCAAATAAATAAATACAAAGACCAAATAAATAAATACAAAGACCAAATAAATAAATACAAAGACCAAATAAATAAATACAAAGACCAAATAAATAAATACAAAGACCAAATAAATAAATACAAAGACCAAATAAATAAATACAAAGACCAAATAAATAAATACTAAGACCAAATAAATAAATACAAAGACCAAATAAATAAATACAAAGACCAAATAAATAAATACTAAGACCAAATAAATAAATACAAAGACCAAATAAATAAATACAAAGACCAAATAAATAAATACTAAGACCAAATAAATAAATACAAAGACCAAATAAATAAATACAAAGACCAAATAAATAAATACTAAGACCAAATAAATAAATACTCAAAGACTCAATAAATAAATACTCAAAGACTAAATAAATAAATACTCAAAGACTCAATAAATAAATACTAAGACCAAATAAATAAATACTCAAAGACTAAATAAATAAATACTCAAAGACTAAATAAATAAATACTCAAAGACTAAATAAATAAATACTCAAAGACTCAATAAATAAATACTAAGACCAAATAAATAAATACTCAAAGACTAAATAAATAAATACTCAAAGACTAAATAAATAAATACTCAAAGACTAAATAAATAAATACTCAAAGACTAAATAAATAAATACTAAGACCAAATAAATAAATACTCAAAGACTAAATAAATAAATACTCAAAGACTAAATAAATAAATACTCAAAGACTCAATAAATAAATACTCAAAGACTAAATAAATAAATACTCAAAGACTAAATAAATAAATACTCAAAGACTCAATAAATAAATACTCAAAGACTAAATAAATAAATACTCAAAGACTAAATAAATAAATACTCAAAGACTAAATAAATAAATACTAAGACCAAATAAATAAATACTCAAAGACTCAATAAATAAATACTCAAAGACTAAATAAATAAATACTCAAAGACTCAATAAATAAATACTAAGACCAAATAAATAAATACTCAAAGACTCAATAAATAAATACTAAGACCAAATAAATAAATACTCAAAGACTAAATAAATAAATACTCAAAGACTAAATAAATAAATACTCAAAGACTAAATAAATAAATACTCAAAGACTAAATAAATAAATACTCAAACACTCAATAAATAAATACTAAGACCAAATAAATAAATACTCAAAGACTAAATAAATAAATACTCAAAGACTCAATAAATAAATACTAAGACCAAATAAATAAATACTCAAAGACTAAATAAATAAATACTCAAAGACTCAATAAATAAATACTAAGACCAAATAAATAAATACTCAAAAAGACTAACTAAATAAATACTCAAAGACTCAATAAATAAATACTAAGACCAAATAAATAAATACTCAAAGACTAAATAAATAAATACTCAAAGACTCAATAAATAAATACTCAAAGACTCAATAAATAAAGACTAAGACCAAATAAATAAATACTCAAAGACTAAATAAATAAAGACTAAGACCAAATAAATAAATACTCAAAGACTAAATAAATAAATACTCAAAGACTCAATAAATAAATACTAAGACCAAATAAATAAATACTCAAAGACTAAATAAATAAATACTCAAAGACTAAATAAATAAATACTCAAAGACTAAATAAATAAATACTCAAAGACTAAATAAATAAATACTCAAAGACTAAATAAATAAATACTCAAAGACTAAATAAATAAATACTCAAACACTCAATAAATAAATACTAAGACCAAATAAATAAATACTCAAAGACTAAATAAATAAATACTCAAAGACTAAATAAATAAATACTCAAAGACTCAATAAATAAATACTCAAAGACTAAATAAATAAATACTCAAAGACTAAATAAATAAATACTCAAAGACTAAATAAATAAATACTCAAAGACTAAATAAATAAATACTCAAAGACTCAATAAATAAATACTAAGACCAAATAAATAAATACTCAAAGACTAAATAAATAAATACTCAAAGACTAAATAAATAAATACTCAAAGACTCAATAAATAAATACTAAGACCAAATAAATAAATACTTAAAGACTAAATAAATAAATACTCAAAGACTAAATAAATAAATACTCAAACACTCAATAAATAAATACTAAGACCAAATAAATAAATACTCAAAGACTAAATAAATAAATACTCAAAGACTCAATAAATAAATACTAAGACCAAATAAATAAATACTCAAAGACTCAATAAATAAATACTCAAAGACTAAATAAATAAATACTCAAAGACTCAATAAATAAATACTAAGACCAAATAAATAAATACTCAAAGACTCAATAAATAAATACTAAGACCAAATAAATAAATACTCAAAGACTCAATAAATAAATACTCAAAGACTAAATAAATAAATACTCAAAGACTCAATAAATAAATACTAAGACCAAATAAATAAATACTCAAAGACTCAATAAATAAATACTAAGACCAAATAAATAAATACTCAAAGACTAAATAAATAAATACTCAAAGACTAAATAAATAAATACTCAAAGACTAAATAAATAAATACTCAAAGACTAAATAAATAAATACTCAAACACTCAATAAATAAATACTAAGACCAAATAAATAAATACTCAAAGACTAAATAAATAAATACTCAAAGACTCAATAAATAAATACTAAGACCAAATAAATAAATACTCAAAGACTAAATAAATAAATACTCAAAGACTCAATAAATAAATACTAAGACCAAATAAATAAATACTCAAAGACTAAATAAATAAATACTCAAAGACTCAATAAATAAATACTAAGACCAAATAAATAAATACTCAAAGACTAAATAAATAAATACTCAAAGACTCAATAAATAAATACTCAAAGACTCAATAAATAAATACTAAGACCAAATAAATAAATACTCAAAGACTAAATAAATAAATACTCAAAGACTCAATAAATAAATACTAAGACCAAATAAATAAATACTCAAAGACTAAATAAATAAATACTCAAAGACTCAATAAATAAATACTAAGACCAAATAAATAAATACTCAAAGACTAAATAAATAAATACTCAAAGACTAAATAAATAAATACTCAAAGACTAAATAAATAAATACTCAAAGACTAAATAAATAAATACTCAAAGACTAAATAAATAAATACTCAAAGACTAAATAAATAAATACTCAAACACTCAATAAATAAATACTAAGACCAAATAAATAAATACTCAAAGACTAAATAAATAAATACTCAAAGACTAAATAAATAAATACTCAAAGACTCAATAAATAAATACTCAAAGACTAAATAAATAAATACTCAAAGACTAAATAAATAAATACTCAAAGACTAAATAAATAAATACTCAAAGACTAAATAAATAAATACTCAAAGACTAAATAAATAAATACTCAAACACTAAATAAATAAATACTCAAACACTAAATAAATAAATACTCAAACACTAAATAAATAAATACTCAAACACTAAATAAATAAATACTCAAAGACCAAATTTATAATAGACACATAGTGAACAAAATGTTAGCTTCATTCTCACAAAGTGAAAGGGCCTGCGAGCGTCGCAGAAATCTCTATTTACAGCTATTTCCTGAAAATCGCAAACTATTGGCCAACATTGATTCTGCTAGTTATAGAAGATGTTTTAAGAACCCTCATTTGAGATCGTACACAAATTAATGCAAGCTACAAAACAGTTCAATGCCGTATTGGTGACTCATGTTGAATATTTAAATGTCTTTTATTCCAATTTCCAGCTGAGGTTTGATGATATTCTGAATATGGTAATTGGTTATACCTCTATCATGGGCGTAGCCAGAGGGGTGGGGGGGCTTGGGGGTTCAACCCCCCCCCCCCTAGCGGGGGAGGGGTGTCGGAGTTTAGTGTCTGATCTTTTGCTTTAATATTGTTTATTTATGTGAAGTTTTAATACTAAACCATCACTTGCCCTAGCGCAGCCAAGGGGATTTTGAGTTGAAAAACCCCTACCAGGGGGTTTTGAGTTGGAAACCCCCTACCAGGGGGTTTAGGGGGGTTTTGAGTTTGAAACCCCTACCAAGAAGTTTTGAGTTTGATACCCCATACCAGGGGGTTTTGAGTTTAAAACCTCTTA